GCGATCTACAACTGAGTATTTGTACAAGTTGGTACTAGTGAATGTTAACAGAGATGAAGGACACTACTTCCTCCCACTGAACACTATTGAAGCCAAAATATCTCAGGTACAGGCCCTGCCCTTGTGCCGTCATTTGAAACCTCTTGTGATCTTGGAGCCGATGTATCGAGGTCCACAGATACAACCACCTGACCAATCATGTGTCAGCTGTCCATCTCTAAACCAAACTTGCTAAAAACATGGGCACTTGAACTTTGAACATAAGAAGTAACTAAAGCTAGAAAAGTTACTTCACTTACAGCTCAACTTTTTAGTTTGGTCCTTTACCCATCTGCTAACATAGGGGAGGCATGGTCTCTGTCTGATATTTTGCAGCCAGCCACCAGGGGGCAATCCAGATGTTTTGGCTTCACTTTAGGGAGCTGTCATGTCGTCCTTATTAATGTGCAGTCATTTGTTGGTACACACACAAGCCTCAGTGCTCCCCCTCTCTCATGAGCTCATTGACTTAATGTTCCCACAACCAACAAAAATCAGTGACGCCCAATGACTCTGTACTAACTCTCTGTGCACTCACTGGATGATCACAGAGTCCTAATGAAATGGAAATGCCAAATGTGGCACGCAGAGGGCAATACCGGCACAAATTCAAGCTTTTTAGTCTAATCATAAAAACTCTTTATCCTGCTTCCAGACAATGTTGTTTGAAAGAAGGTGCCAGTGATAGAAAGCCAGTCGTCGGCACTTTGGTTGTGTGGTGGAAAATACGCATCATGATAATTATTTGAGCGCTCTGCAATCTGAATAGGATGATTAATCCAAGCATAGTATCTGCTGTTGAAAAACTTTTCATTATTTTCTTTATTCAAGTTTTTATTTGTGCAGGAATTAGCAGAGGCTTAGTTTACTTAGTATCCATTATTTTACTCCAAACTGAATAAATCCTCAAGAACATACAATGGGAAACTGTTCAAACTGAGTATTTCTTGAGTTGACTATAAAGTCTGAGTAGGACAGCGAGGTCATTGTGCTCAGAACAGCCCAGACTACAATGTGTGTCTTCTCTGTCTTTTTTCTGTGATTCAATAGCTCTCATAGTGAATGTTGTTTTTCCCCCTTCACTCTAAAGTTTGAAACATTGATCTTTGGAACATTCTTCCATTTTATTCATAAACAGGCAGATTCTGATTCGGTTTGAAAAAAGTGTTGGTGGAAAGCATTTCATAATCCTGTCTGTAACAAACAGTTCATGAGCTTTCATTTAAAAACCTTTAGTCAATTAAGTTGATTCTGATTTAACGTTTAAGCCATTTTTAACAAGTGAAATGTCAACATTCCCAAGGTTTCTGCTTCTCTTGCGGAGAAAATCCACTTTTTATTGATTGATAATAATTGAAAAAAAAGCAGCATTGTTGCTGCTAAAACATTTTTCCTTTTGCAGTTAAAATCATCCTGTTGCTATGAACGTCATGTGTAATTAGAGCAGGTATGAAAAAGAAAAGCATCAAATCGCATTACTGCCTCTCTCATAAAGCCAAAGACCAGAGCCTAAAGGTTTTATAGGTATCTGATGACATCAAAATGTTCTCTTTACTCCATCTAGTTGACGAGCAAACAACACACTTACAATACAAAAGCCATAACTCACAGTCAGAGCTTCTTCCGACTCCCCTGCCTGGATGTCATGTTGACTTTTCAAGAGAGCTCACTTCCCTTGTAGATGCATGACAGGTAGAGGCAAGAGCTGTCAGGGATTAAGAACTCACTCGTTAGTAAATATTGAATTCTATTCATCCATTATCTGAAGCCAGAAGGAGAATGTTCTGCCTGCAGCCAGCAAAACAAGACATCTCTGTTGTGACATAACACAGATCGCCATCATCTGTCTCTTACATAATGCCACAGGGTGCTGGCTAAAACCACTGTCTTTGTCAGCCTCGTGGAAACCCCATCACTTTCCCCTGATCTCTGGGGAGATCCAGAAAGGAGGACAGATGGTCTGGACTGACGGAGGGTGAGAGAGAAAAAAATGGGAGATACATTTTAGAGATTTAAGAGAGAGATGGAGAGACCATGAGATTGTATGAGAGCATCCCCCTTCCTCTCTCACCCCTTCCCTTCAGTACAGTGTATAGTATTAGTTGACAACCCCTGGTTTATGAACTTCGCCTTAATCTGTCGTGCCTATGGGCTTTTATTCTTTTTCTAAAGAGTCGAGGGAGTGAAGAGAAAATCCTCTCTTATGTAAATCTGTGGTTCATAGACCGATTACTGGTGACAACGCAACGTCAGGAACTTTATGAATACAATACGTTAATGTGTTGTGGTGTGTTTCAGTTCAGTGTATCCTGACACCTAGTGTGCATAGAAGGCAGCACCAGTTTGATTCCCTTATCAGACCTGACTGTACATGCAAGAAGATTTTGGTTGCTGTTCTTTGTCCTTTCTCTGCCATCCTCTCACATTTTTTATAATATAAAGTATATATATAATATAATATACATATTGCATATATTTCTTTTGGCCAAGGATGCATCTGATATGAGCTCACAGACTATAACCTCTCTGTAGATCAGTTACCAGTGATTAAACCTTTTGACAAAAGCCAGTGGGTTCAATGCTACCCTCACCACTCACTGTACCGTGTGTGCGCACGTTCATGAACGTGGCTTCTGTGTCTAGTCATGTGCCTCGTTTGTGTGCACCTGTTTTTTAATTGTTTAGTACGTGATGTATGCAGCTCTAATTGCTCCCCTGACACATAGATAAATGACCCTGACATTTGTGTTCACGTCAGTGCGAACAGCCACAGTGACAGCTGTGATCAATACTTCAGTAAATGTGGCAGGGCACTGCTCCTCATCTTTTTAATGGTCTGCATTTTTTCCTTTTTCGGATCGACTTACTGATATCTTTGACTAGTTCAAAGCCTTAGTAGTACCTGTGCTAGGTATGTACTGAGTGTTACTCTTTACAGATGAAAGCTGACACTAATATACCTGCAGTAAGTTGTATTGTGATGATGGAGTTTTACAAAGGGCTGCACCTCATTTCGTCTAGTGTGCTTGTTGCTCCTTGTATCAAGGGTGTGGAAAGCTATTAAATGTTTGTGTTCAGTATGTGAGTAGATCAGTCTGATAATCAAACGGCAGCAGAAAGTGGAGATGGTGAACAGAGTTATTGATTGAAATCAGCATTAGTCATTTTGCGTTCCGATGGTAATGGAGTATAAACCACACCCAGCTGGCCTCTACCCAGCACTGTGTCTATTGGGTTTTGATGAGCCTCCCACTGTTATTGGAACATGGTTTGGTAGCATCATTTTATTCCCAGCATCCCTCCAATTAACTTCCATCGAACAGAGCTTTCATCACACCGAGGAAGTGACGACAGTAGTTTTGTCCTGTTTTTGAGCTTTTAAACCTGCTTTCACAAATGCAGGTCTATTAAAATGGAAGTGACAGTCAGTTGTTCAGTCGCTTTGTCAGTCAAACTTGGGTATCGTAATCTGTAGTTGTTGGTAACTGAGCTTTGACTTGGAAATAAATCCATTTTTTAACATTTTTATGGCAAAACAACATGAAATATTAGATACTGATGTTCAAGTTGTTCATGCTGCGTTCTTTTATTCTTTGGTGTTATTTTGAGCTACAGTACTAGTATTGTTGTAATACACAGTTATATTATTATCTCATTGCTGAGGTTGGTTTTCTAAGAGTGTTTATTTGTTGGCTAAGCTGAAAAAAGCTGATCTCATAACAATTGACCCCTCCCCTTTAACCAGTCACTAGACACCAACCGCATCATGATGGTACTGTGACACCATCACCATCAACGATTCGACACACACACACACACACTCATGCACTGATAGCTGAACTCAGAGAGGAAGGCTTAAGGGGGGGTTATTCTGGCACTTGGTCTGAGTCCAGCTAGAGAGGCACATTCAGAGCGACACACACCCTGTGGACAGAGATGTCTGGTGAAGAACAGAGAGCGTGTTAGAGGGGGCAGCAGAGACATGCTGAGGAAGCTGGTGTGCAAGAAAATCTGTGCTCGTAAGAATGATTCCTTTTTTATCTCTCCTGCTTTCCCCTCCGTTCTGTATTGCTCCTTGTTTTTTCTCGGTCTTTCTCATCTATCTACGCCTGTTCATCTTATGCTTCCCCCTCTCTACCTTACCCTCTGTCTCAACCTGTTGCCTTTCCTCCCTCTCTTCCTCTGATGTGTTGTACGTCTGCTTGTTGCAGTGTCATGGTGATAATCTTGGCTGCAGGGACATTATGGGATCTGTCTTTTTGTGGGCAAGCTCCATCATTGCTCTGATTTATTTTTAAATTTTGTCCACCAATATCAGTTAATATCACCTGGAGCCACATTTTAAATGTGTGGTTCAAACAGGTAGGCTTCATTCACAAACACTGCCTTACTGCAAGCCTGTCTATAAGAAGATATTCTTTCTGTTAAGTACTTTTAAAGGTCAAAACGTCCTCAGGAGTGATTAAAGCAACAAACATTCCCGTTGTCACCGGCCTCAGCTGGCTGCAACCACCCAGCACATCAGCCCTGGGCTAATCCTTTGTGTGAATAGTCCCCTTGGGCAGGTGACAGTGGAAATGTATCCATGCATGGCTGTCAAACCAGATTAGAGTCAGATGGATGGATGGATGAAGTTTGGGTGGATACATGGACACATCCTGATAGATTGACTGTGCTGCACCCTCCCCTGAGGTGGGAATAGGACATAGGACGCAGTGATGATTCGGGTCGTACTGTCGGAAGATTAATAAAAGGATGATGATGTACTTCGCTGTAGGACGTAATACTGACCTCCCTAATCTTTGAGGGAAGCAACGTGTCTCTGAATGATTCGTGAATAATGATTTATTGATCCCCTCCTGCCGTCATGTGAATAACATTTACATTATCCTGAAGAGCATAATTCCTATTTTGAATGAATTATAACATTGTTATTTTTTTTTCTGCCTCTGTTGTTGCAGATAAGAATTTTGAGGATGAGGAATCTGTGGATGGAGGCCGGTCCTCCTCCTCATCATCCTCAAAAGCACCCCCCAGTGGCAGGAGGACTGTAGTGAGCTCTGTTAGAAGACCCAGCTCAGCCACCACGACTAAGGCCACAGGTAAGGGGTGGGAGGGTTGTGTTTGAGGAAACTACGAGGCAGCTAGCTGTAATATACACTCAGTAAGCACTTTATTAGGAACACCATACTAACACTGGCAAAGGCCTTTTGCTTTCAAACAGTCACTGTTCCTCATGTTATCTGTTCTACAAGATCTGCTCCATGTTAACATGACTGCAGCACAACATTTCTGCAGATTTATCTGCTGCACATTCATGCTGCCAGTCTCTTATGTTCTCTTATGTCATGTTCATGAAACCAAATTGAGACATGGATCATCAATTACAAGTTTGCTGACCCTGTTGACTCTGCCAACTGTTATGCAGTAATATTCTGCATTTTACAATATGCTCACATTTGTAAGCAGTTGTATCAGGAGTTATTATTCGAGCAATCTTTATACAGGGGTTCCTAATAAAGTGCTTTTTTAAATGCACATGACTGTTTCAACATTATAGTAAAAATGTCTTATACTACAACTATTATTTTGTCTACAGATAGAGAGCTATGGCTTTAATGCTGCTGTGAATAATCTTTAAAATGTTTGAAGCAACTATTGAGTCTCAGCTAAAACACTTTTCACATTGTTTTCAAAGGTAAAGAAGCAGCAGCTGGTGCTGTTGATGAAGAGGATTTCATCAAGGCCTTTGAAGACGTGCCCTCTGTTCAGGTATACTGAGCTCTGAGTGGTCAACTATAGAAGACAGTGTTAAAAATATCTAATGAGGTCCCCGGAGCCTTAGCTGCACTTATCATCAGTTTGTTTGCACTGTCATTGTGTTTTTGCTAGCATACTGACGTAAGCAATTGCCTTCAGGGAATCACTAGAAAGGATGTAGTCATTTTAGTCTTTTCTTACAAATTGTAAAATACACCACAATGGGGAATATGTCAGAATCTGAAACATAACATATGTGAATCATAATTGATAACTTATTGTATAGATGACAATATATCTTTCTTAATGTCCCTCTGTGTTCAGATCTACTCGAATAGAGAGTTCGAGGACCAGCTGACCAAGATCAGAGAAGTGCTGTCTGATGACAAACATGACTGGGAGCACCGAGTGGTAGCGGTAAGCCTTGGACTCCAACTTTATACTCATTCACTCATTTACATAGGATACAAGTGTTGGCATTTTGTGATGATACACCAAAATATATGATCTTTTTCCTTGTTCCTCTCCAGCTGAAGAAGGTGCGTTCACTCATATTTGCTGGGGCCACTGAATACGAGGGTTTCTCTCAGCAGCTGCGTCTCCTCGAGGCTCCTCTCAAGCTGTCCGCTAAAGACCTGCGCTCTCAGGTGGTCCGCGAGGCCTGTATCACACTGGGGTGAGATTCCAAACTGAAGGGCATGCACTGTCTTAACCAAATTTCTAAATGTTTTTGGGAAACAACAGTTAGCTACCATCTTTTATCTTTTGTTGGAGCTCTATTTTATGATCTTAAAATAAATTCCCTTTCTCTAAAATACTTTTCTAGAGAATTGCAGTTTCCACTATTATGGTTTGTTTCTTTAGATTTAGGTATAAATGCTAAAATATCATGTTGAAGGTTTGATTTATTTAAGCACATTTCACATGTGATTATTTCAAACTGACAATAACAGATTGTAAACTACACAGTCTTGTGTCCACAATTTAGTTTTTTGTTATTTTTTATATTTAGTTCTTGTGAGAAATATGTTTCAGTGTCTCGTAAAAAGGGCAGAACAATCAACAGCTCAGCCTGGATGTATCCGCATGGAAAACTTAACTTTTCATTCAATTTAAATATAGTAATGATAGTATCATCCCACTGAGTGTGGAGAGCAGGAATTATACATTTTAAAAAATGACACAGCCTTAATACTCAGGTTAATACAGCGAAAACTTGGGAACCTAATAAGATGATAACCATCAGAGTCAGTCGCTCTGCTGAGATCATCATCATGCCTTTGACTGGCAGCAGCGATATTAGCAGAAATCTGTAACTGACAAAGCTGTACCGGGAAAATTACATATTAAAGTGTTTTCTAACCACATAGTTGAGCTAATGAAAATAAGCCTGGCTTGAAAATATGAGACTAGCAGTGCATCCCCCCATCCCAAAAACATCTGTCATCCAAATTCTAATACAACCCTGATGAGGTGGAACAGAGTAAAGATGCTCTGAAAGAGCAGTAGCCTGATGAATGGTTGGGAACGATACAGATCCCATCATCCCTTGTTACCACGTTACCATCGCGCAAGTAGCCCCTCAAGCCAGATAGTTTTTCTAAAATGTCTCTTTCCTTGTCTTTTTACTTGTGTCTCAATGTATCTCCTTTAAAAGGTTTCTTTCCAAAAAAAGACAGCAACCCAGCTGCTATCTTAATATTCAAACAGCTGCTTTATTCTCTCCTTGAGAAAATTATTAATTCAAAATATATATAAAATAAACTTTTATACATTTTAGCATAATTATTGGAGGAGCTGCTCATTTTACATGCTGGCCACAGTCGTGATCCTATTATCAGAAAGAACAGTAACGCATCACCATGGTGTCAAGGTCAGGATAGATCTTTAACGCTGTGTTTTTCAACTCTTTTTCACTCTCACCTTTCCTCTGTCAGACATTTGTCATCACTTCTGGGTAACAAGTTTGACCATGGAGCAGAGAGCATCATGCCCACACTGCTGAACCTTGTGCCCAACAGTGCCAAAGTCATGGCCACATCTGGGGTGGTCACCATCCGCCTCATCCTCAGGGTAAGACATTTTAGCGAGATGGGTTGCTCTGGTCATCTGGGAATATTTTCATTTATAACTGAACCTCAATTTTAAACTTATGTTCCGCTAAACAATTAAACGCCTCTCAAATCTTTACTTGCATATCTCAACAGGTGATTGGTTTATAATAGCTGTAAATTGAACCACTATCATGTCTGAATATTGAAATATTTAAACAAAAAATAATTAAACTATTCTTGTGGACTCATGGAACAAAGTTAATAAAAATAGATAAAATATCTTTCCTCTCCAGAACACACACTACCCACGTCTCATCCCCATCATAACCAGTAACTGCACCTCCAAATCAGTGGCAGTAAGACGGTAAGAACATATTAATGGTTCTAAATGACAATTGTTTTATCTTTATCTATCAAAAGGAAATTTATGATTGTATTTTATATTCAGTCCATAATAATTTTCAAGACAAAATACTGCCTATCTCAAATCACAAAGACTATGTTTTTCTTGTGTCAAATTATTTTCATTGACATGTCATATTTATATGAAATGATAAACATGTATTTGATGTTTTGATTTTAACAGCAATATGTTAGCAACCCTGTATAGAAGTGTTGTTGTATGGTCTGGCTCAGGTTAACTTCTTGTGCTGTTTCGTTAATGGTTCGTCAAATGCTTTATGAAACTGCTCATGTTGTAATCCGCAACACCAGTGCCACCCTCCAAAACCGAAGCCTTGCATACGTTACACTTCACTGTTTTATTCGTGGGCCAGTCCAGCTTGAAATATTACCAAATTGCTGACATCTTGGCTAGCTGTGGCTAACTCTACACTACCAGAAATCACTTCTTCACTTGCCAGTGGCAGTACAGCACATCTACTGTCATAGTGGTGAAGAAGTGATATCTGTGAAAAGAAAACAGCTGTTTAGGTGAAACTAATATATGAATAATATATAAAGAGATTGTATTTGAATACACACCCACCCTGGCAGTTTCTGAGGAATTTCAGTTGCTGGTATCGGAACATCATATTTTGCACATATGTTTATTTATAGTAAAGTTTTTCGTTGTACAGCTTTTAATAACTTGAAGAGCTGTTTTACTTTTTCTCCTCTCCAGACGCTGCTATGAGTTTTTAGACCTCATGTTACAAGAATGGCCCACCAATACACTGGAAAGGTAAGCTGAAACTCTTTGCAAGTGTGTATGTGGTGTGTGTGTCTCCTTGGGGCGAGTGAGTGGGTGTTGCTGTGTAGTAGACGTGAGACGCTTGATCACATTTAAGTTTGCTGAGTGCTAGCTGGGTGCGTCGCTGATGAGACCCATTAAATTGATGAGTCCTGTGAGAGCCGTCGTGATCAATTGCTTAACGATAAGGCGACTTTCCGTCCCTGTAACCATGACAACCGCAGCAGAGACTTTAAAAACAGGCGAAAAATCCTGTGGGTGGCCACATTCCCTGTGGACCACCAGAGGGATAAAACAGGAAGACACAGGAGAAGAGAAAGAGACATTCTTTTTGCTCTGTAGCATTTACAGGTTTATGGTTTCAGGAAACATCCATCAGTAAATCACGATTTTATCTTGACTGCATCCTGCTCACCATGTTTCCTTACTACCCCAGACATGTGGCTGTTCTGACTGAGACCATCAAGAAAGGCATACATGATGCTGACTCTGAGGCAAGATCCATTGCTAGAAAGTAAGTGTTGCTTCAATATTTTCTCCCTTAACATTCTTGTTTCTTTGTTTTCAACACTTTTGACATTGGCTAAATTGTAAATCACCTCCTGCTTCTTCTTGTCCTCACCCATAGGTGCTACTGGGGTTTCCATGGTCACTACAGCCGGGAGGCAGAGCATCTGTTCCAGGCGCTAGAGTCCACCTATCAGAAGGCCCTCCAGTCTCACCTGAAGAGCTCTGACAGCATTGTGTCTCTACCACAGTCTGATCGATCCTCATCATCTTCCCAAGAGAGTCTTAAGTAAGAATTGTTTCCTCCACCCCTGCTCCTTCTGTTTTATCTTTTTTCTCCTGTTATATTCGGGCCTGAGATTACAGCTCCTGCTCACCTGCTCCTGTTACGCTCTTATTTGCTGTCATGTCTCCTGCATCATCATCATCTTCAGCTGTTTTCACAAAGCTAATGCACATCTATTTGCCATTATAAGTGATGAAAACCTATAACGCATCTGCCTTATTGTTGATCGTATAATCTTTGGCAATTATTATCAGATGGGTTGCAGCAGGGTGGGGACCCACGTACACACACACACACACACAAACACACACACACACACACACACACACACATACCAATGATTGCTATCAGTTTATAGATTCCCTCTGGTGCTTGTTGGTTAATGACCTCATTCTCCATCTACCAGGACTGCAGGTGTCACATTGTGTTTGTGTGTGTGTGCGTGCGTGTGAATGCGTGTGCACATTTAAGTGTGTGCTGGGGGGTGCTTGTGGTTATGGGTATGAGATCATCTTTATTCTTCCCACCGAAAGCTTTCCAATCGAATTCACCATTTCTTTATCGGTCACTAACACATTGACTAGAACAGTTCTAATTCTGCAAATTTCACTGTACAAATACATACTACACATTAGCTTTATTTATTTTAATGTAATCATATTTTTTTAATATTCATTGTTCATTTCATTTTTATAAGTCATAAATAAAATATCTGTCAACCTGATGCACAAAGTCTAAAAGTGACTTGTTTGTCCTCTTGTTTTTCAGCCGGCCATTGTCTGTGAAGAGTGTCATCGGAGGGAGCATAATAAGGAGTGAGCCACTTTCACTTTCTATCGCTCTGTGTTCCTAATAAAGTGCTCATTGAGTGTAAATTAAATAAAATAATATATTGATTAGGAATTGATCACTGGCGGTCTAACATAATGAATAAGAATCTAAACATGTGAGGTAGCTTTATCTTTTGCACATTGTCTGTTATGGGCGCTATTGTGCACAAGGTGGAAGTAGTACAAAGGTAAGAAGGGCATGTCATTATCAAAATAAGATGCTCAAGTTGACTATTTGTGTCTCATCTCTGTTGTTCCAGGTAAGCTGGTGAGCGCAAGGGTGCCTACTACACCGGGTTCCCTCCAGCGTTCACGTAGCGACATCGATGTAAATGCAGCCTCTAACGCCAAGTCACGCCTGTCCACCGTCCCCACTTCCTCCTCTCCGTTCAGCTCTGCAGCCGCCCTTCCTCCGGGGTCCTACGCCTCTCTAGGTAACCCATCACTCATCTCCTAAAATCAGACCAGGTCCGTTTAACAACTTCAGTTCATTGTGTAGAGAGAACTGCATGTGAATGCAAACATACTGGCAACTTTCAGCAAATGAATGTGCATGGACGAGAGTGCCCAATAAAAAATGGAAGGATGAAAATCTTGGTTAAAACTGGTGACTTGAATGAAGCTACAGTGTTGGTAACCTTGACTTGCATTAGAAAACATAGAAACCCTGAGAACACACACTACTATGCTGTATCTCAGAGGAGATTTTGTCAGGAATGAGCCACCATCTACAGTATAAATATACATTTAATATTTAATATTATTTTAGATATGCTATTTCAAATTTTTTCTAAGTTTTCATCCTTTTCTGAAAATTACCACACGATCCCCCTGGGGGCCATGACTCTGAGTTTGGGAACCACCGATCTACAGTATTTTATCAAACCTGAGTCAACAATGTTCCATCATGATGAAGTATTACAACATTTTGGCTTGTGATCACTGGCTTTTAAGAACCTGACTGGGATTATTAATGACGACTGAGGTTGTCATTAGACTGCTCTATCAGCAGGAACTGTGTAAATCCTGTGCTGACACTCCTGACAAATTGATGCGATGAGGCTGAGCAAGTGTGAGAATAAGCCTGATCGTTTTTACGGATGTTTTCTCAATCATTTAAGTTAATGGGGGATGTTCAAGCCATCCCCTGTCCAAAATTTATTACATTTACCGTAATCTTTTCCCATGCAAAGCTCTCTCCCTTTTTCTTTATGAGTCTCCCTGGTTCGACCATTACTAATGATGAGGAGGCCACTTGTTCACCCACTCACACCTGCTTCAATTGCTACTAATGTCTCCCTCTATACCTCTCCTTCCACTCGCTGCTGCACTGCCTTTCTTAAATACCCAAAAGATGGCACTCCCGGTAAAAGTGATGGTAAGACATGTGTCTCTGTGTATGAATGTAAGAAAGAGAAACCGTATGAGTGTGTCTCTGTGTCAACTGTCACGGGCTACATAACTACATCTTTTTCTCTTCATCTGTGTCCTCTTTTCTTCTCTTTACCCCCTTCCTCCACCACCACCTCCCTAAGTGGTCATCAGTTATGTGGAACTCTGCATGGACTCTCTGCATGGATTTTATCGTCTGACTGTAACCCTAACAAATGAATCCATCACTTCTGTTACTTATACAGCGTCTGTGTCTGGCGTAGCTGTGTTATATTGTTGCGTTTCTCTCTACAGGGTTGTTTTTAGTTGCTAGAGGAGGCTGTTTTTGTCTTTTATGATTTTATGATTTTCCTCTCTCAGAACCTGAGTCATTGCAAGTAACACACTGCAAGGTTTCACACACTAAATCAGCATCATGTTGAACATCTAATCCAAGCTTTTGACGGTCCTTGTTATGTGGCGTATCCTCAGGGTTGCTAAATCTGGTACAAGGCTGTTTTATTGTCTGTGATGTGGCGTGAATTTGAAGTCATCCACAAGTAAAAATCACAAAGATTCCTATGTTTCACCAGAGGGTATAAAAAACTGAGCAGAAAGAACTGATAATCAGGGGCCTGCGCTACGCTGCAGGATCTGTGGTTATCAAGGAAGCGTCAGGTTTAACTCTGAGGTTTTAGTCCTTTGAGGCTGGCTCACTTCTTACCAGAGTAAATCACCATGGTAACTTATGCTGGACCACTAACCTGCTCTGATGCAGGTTAAGTTTAAGATCACAGATCAAAACCTGCCACGGACCCAACTGACCAATCAGATCACTGGAAAGTAGAGTTAATATTTTCATGGCTCTGCTGATGTCGCTCATTGTTAAAAAGTCTTCACCATGAAGGCGCTTGTTGCTGAACAAGAAAACCTGAGTTAACTGAGACAGTTCATAACCAGCTTTGTGTACAAGTTATCAGGGCAATGTTGGGTTTAGTGAAGCTAGAAAAGGTGTCTTGGATATGTTGAGCCTGGTTTCGATAACAGGCACTCGCTGTGTTTTAGCACAATGTGATGAGTGCCGATAAACTGTTGAGGAGATCATAGTAGTTTACAGCAGCGTAATTGGAATAAAACTCTCTTCACCTAAAGGACAATTTTACTTTCACTTGCAATGTTTACGTGGACAACAATATTCTGATATTAACCCAATTAAGCCAATAATCAACTGCTATTTTCAGTATTTTCTGATTCCTTTACACAAATAGGTTCATACTCAGAATAAACAGTCATCAAATTAAGAAGTGGAGTTTTCTTACCTTAGTTACACTACTTTAACATGTATACATCGTAATCACATAAAGTCTTATTGGAGTTTTTATAGCATTTTGCGACATTGACATACAGCATCAACTCCTTAAGGACACACGCCCTGGTCTTTAGTGTGAATGGACACCATAATAGATGTCATATTTTATTCAGAATAAGGTCAATCGTCTGAATGTTGCTGTCCATGTAAATGTAGTCTTAAATTCTTGTCATCACCGTCACCATGTGCGAGGCACTATTTTTGCCATGTTGTGCCATGTGATGGATTTTGCCACCAACTTATCAAAGAATCAGTGGCCGTCCTTTCAGTCACACCTCACTTTAATTGGACAATGGAGATAAGACTGTGTGTTCTTTGCTGAACCAAAATCAAACAGTGATTTCCATAATGTTAATAGGGCTGATTGAATTTAAAATCTTTCAGATGACAAAGGCTAGAATTGCTGGCATTTACTGCATGTTTGATGTAGCAATACCTAATGTTGTCATGCTAAATCTGGGGGTACTTCAAATTACTATTCCACCAAATCTGTAGTAAAGGTTTCCGTCAATGTATTTATGTAACCCTGAAAAACAACTAGTAGGATTTTCCATTGTGCCTCTTGGGCACGTGTAGCTTTCAGCCGGGTCAAGACGTTTTCAATGTTTCTTATGGTTTATTTTAGCATATGATGGCACATAAGTGGAATGTGACACAAGTCCCTTAACTAGTGTTTTTCTGTGTTTCTTAGTCAAATCCAGCATGAGCATGTGCTGACATACAAACCCAACCTCAATCTTGAACTGTGGTTGCAGGTTAAAACAAAAACTATTATTCACAATACTAATTGACCAAGGTTTGTCTGTGATCCCCTTTGTGTTTTCAGAGGGGTTCTGTCCCCTTGTCCAGGTCTTCATCATTCTGTCTCCCAAGACGTTTTCTTCTACAGCATCTCTGTCCAGGGTTGGGGTGATTACTGATAACTGAGTCGTATTGATTTAGCTTATTCCTGTCCCTCTCTTCCCCCCATTCTCTTGCTCTTTCCTTTTTTATCCAGGTCGTGTTCGTACCAGGAGACAAAGCTCTGGCAGCGTGGGTGGAGCCAAGACTTCAGTTGTGGACAGCAGGGGGCGAAGTCGAGCCAAAGTGGTTTCCCAGTCCCAGCGTATGTATACACACACCTCACACATGTTCTCACCTCAGAATCTCTCGCAGTCAAATATATCACACAGTATATCACACATTCAGCATTTCGTAGTACTACACTCATATTTAGGTATGATCTTTGTCTGCGTTGACGTTAGATCATACTGAATGTCTCACTGTGTCTTGTTTTTGTGTATGTTCGTTGTGCAGCAATCTGAACAAAACTTCCAATAACTCAAAAATCTTGTGCATCTATGCATGAGTACCTCCATGCATGTGTGCTTTTGATTTAAGCAATCGGTGCACACCTAACATACTTGCCACTGTCCAGAGGGCATGCTGGGTAGATTCAATAACCATAACCCTCCTCTGCCTCATTTTGACCGTTTTCAATCTCCACCTTGTCCTGCCTATTGCTTCCATCACCCAGGATCCAGATCAGCCAATCCTATCAGTGGTAAGGCCTCAGCTTCATCCAATCATAACCCAGACACCTCATTCCTAAGCACTGTGCCCCCCTTGCACACAGAGTTTAGCACGGTGTACCAGTATTTTTAGATTTCATTGTTTGCTTCTCCATGTATATTAGCAGCATGCACCACTTGGTATAGTCACATTTTTATTTCTGATTACTGTCCCCCACTGTTTGAGAAGCTATTTCAAGTTGCAATTGTCTGTTGGTCAACCAGTTTTTGTGCCCCACTAAATGTCTCCCCGCTCAGCACGGTTATGTAGATGTGTGTATCTCAGCTGTAACATCTGTGTTTGTTCATTGACAACTCATAAATTAATTTTCTATCAAGTTGTGTGTGCTTGCCACTTCTGTATTGTCACCAAAATCTTCTTTTACCTTCAAAAATAACTAAATATATAAAATATGATGTAAGTTTACACTTAATAAAAGTGGAAGAATGTATTATGAGTGGATTTTAGGTTAGATTGCCTTTATGTTTCTGCACTTTAATATTTAGCCTGTTAGAACTGGCCTTTTGAAATTTGGCTAAATAGAGTCCAGTTTTGATAAAGGTTATATATAAAGGTTGGACCACTCCCCTCGCTTTACGGCAGCCACTTATGATCAGCTTTATTGTGCTTGTTTGTCTTCTCTCTGCCAACAGCCGGCAGTCGCTCCAGCTCCCCTGGCAAGCTGCTTGGCCACAGCAGCTATGGCCGGCTCCCTAGAGCCACAGTGTCCGCCTCCACCACGCCGGCTGACAAGCGCAGCAGGATCCCTCGAAGCCAGGGCTGCAGCCGAGAGACAAGTCCTAGTCGACTGGGTCTGGGTAAGGCCAGGACTCACAAGTCACTCTCTTTATTTCTAGAAACAAGCTGCTGTGGTTCTGGTAGGGGTGTGCGATATGGCACTATTAGATCGTGAATGATTAAAATGACCTGCTTTTAAGGAGAGATCGTGAAATCAACTCCGACATGCCCAGGACACTGATTCATTCACCTTACTTAAAAAAAGGGAAAAATCACCCATGATAAATTTAGGGGACTGAATATATCTGACACGCTGTGTATGGATGCCAGTTTACCTGCTTACAATAATTGAAAAACACAAAATTAGACTAAAAATCCTGCTCATTATCTCATTAAAATATGAAAAAAAAGTATATGAACAAAATAGACACAGATTTCTTGCAAATATCAGCTTGCATTGAAAACAATTAAATAATCACTTGTCCCACCTGGACGGCATAAAACAAACAAGTCAGGTGGCGATCACAAGACACCAACCCATAAAATGCAAATACAAATTTATTCCCTTAAAACCCAAGTTCTTATAATGTCGTCAATTCAATAACTTATGTAGTCTGTTAAACTTTGTCCCATAACGTGACTGAATATTCCACGTAATCTCACCACCAGCGATCACCTAGAAAAAGAGTCCTGGTTTCACAGTAATCCCCAAAAGTTCTTCAAAGTAATAATCCAGTTCTGGAAATAAACCTTTGTTGTGCAACATTTGGTCTCTTATCAAATCGTAACAATGAGCAGACGTGGCTGGAATCAAGAAATTGACCCGTTGCATGCTGTACATCACTGACCACACAGGTGTACAGTTGCACAGTTGTACAAGTGTGCAATCCATGAACACTGATAAGGTTGATTAAGAATTATGAGAAAAACTAGTGAAACTGGACTTTATCTGCAAGTTAAGGGAAGTCTTTTGAAATACTGCTGCACTCACACACTGTGTTCTGTACTCTTGGTCTAAGCACACACTTATTGTCTGTTTCAAAGCTGGCTTAGTCTTTTTTTACACATACAGTTAAGCTGACAGAGACTAGTGTGTATATTTGAGATGGTTTTCACTTTTGCTCATCTTTGTTATCATGGTGAAGACTCTATGTAATCCATGTCAAAGCTTTTCAATACTCACTCACATGTAGTTTGATGTGATTGGCTGAGAGGGAGCAGTGGTTACAGGTTTTCAAAAACTTGAACCAGAATTCGAACGGAGGGTGAAGTTACCGACAGTGCAATTCTCTTACTGTATCCTAGATACTGCCATTAGGGTTAAACTGTGTTGCAGCCTAACATTAGGTAGCTCTGTAGATGTGAGCATCGATGTAAGAAACCAGACAGAGTGGAAACTTTCCTGGCTGTCTGCTTCAAGGATGAAAAAGTAGGTTCAGTAATGTTGATTTGCAGGTTTCTTGTCATCAACAACTTGATTAATCTTGCTTGGCTACTTTTGTATTATATAAGTTCCAAACCCAATAATCCTGTTTTATGTGTCTAATCTTTGACCCATGTTAGCAGCTTGAATCGTTCCAGATGATCTAACCTTTAACTAGCAGAATGCCTCTTCACCAACTCACTCACCACTGCACAGCAACTGCTTACTTTGTTTTACTGTTCTACTCTCTTCTTTCATTTCTTCATTATCCCTCAATCCTCTATCTCTCTCAGTCAACTGATTTACTGTAGAGCCCCCCACAGTTTTGTATTGCCCCTTAAACTTATGGACAAATTACCATGACATTTTCTGAGCATATATCTGGTAAAGGAAAATAAACATTTTGGTGCTAATGACCATATTTACTTCTCCATTTAAGCACCGTCATAGACAGGGCTTTTGGAACAGTAAAGTCACTCATTTTGTTAATCTACTAGGTTAACTGAACCTTTAATAAAATTGGATGTAGTGACCTGACAAAACAATATAATGATCATAAACTCTACCCCTCTTTTTTCCTCATCTCTGACTCTCACCACTAGTTTTTCCCATGAATGCACACTGACATTCCCACCTAACTTGTTGTCCTGACAGCCAGCCTGTGTGGTAAAGCTCTTCTTCCTGCTGCTCTTCCCTACCGCACGCTAGCCCGGAGCCGCATTCCCCGTCCCAGCATGAGTCAAGGTTGTAGTCGCGACACCAGTCGTGAGAGCAGCCGCGACACCAGCCCTGCTCGGGGCTTCGGCCCTCTGGGTAAGTACCGCTGAGCTAATGGCTGCACTGGTTTAGCTCTTACGGCCCCAACCAGACACACAAACCTTCCACTTTAACTACTGTCTGTTGTTGGTGTTCCATGTGATGTCTTACCTTTGCCTGTTCTTCTCTGTGCATGTACTAACTGTGGGTTTAGGGACGATACAATTTACTATCTTCTTCTGTTGTATTCCTTTTTCTAAGATTCTAAATATCGATGAAACATCAAGTAATAAATTCCCCTGTTGGACTGTTTTAGTGTTTTTTTATGTTTTTAAATTTTTTCCTGAATGGACCTGTTGTGGTTTAGGTATGAGTGTCATCATTAAACATTGGGGAAGACATTGATTAAGAAGCTGAAGCAACAGAAAAAGCAAACTATCATGTGCAGTACAGTAGTTGCTGCTGTGGCATCCTGAGAATTGATGCCATAACTCATAGATTTATCATCTATGAATATTTTAATGGTATTTAAAGTATGTGACTACTCAGCATGTCACTGTGTTGGAGCCAAACTTAAATCCTGCTGGTGCTGATACTCCTATTTGACATGTTTGACGCCTCAGTTAAGTCCAAATGTCTGAGTGATGCACTGTATGAGTATGCATGATGTATACACCCCTCTCTCTATATATAAATTAGATACATCTCGTTGTGACCTCTTTCACATTGCAGAACCAAACAGAATCAAGCAGTATCATAATATTCTTAATAACTTAAAAAAGCATCAGTCTTGATCCTATAATGAGGTGTAGTATTAATCCCCCTTTATATTTTGTGTCATGTCAAATATGCACTGTGTTTCATAAATATCACCCCAGTCCCTAACACCATGTTGTAATAAACACAAAAACAGGACAGTGATGTGTAAAGGTTCAAGCAGCAGCGTAAAAAATGGCCACGCACATAAGAGGTTGCTGCTGAACCTCTTGCGTGCGTGTGTGTATCACTTACCCCTGGTCAGGATGTTGCCAACCTCTCCTGTCCCCTGCAGCTTCCCGACGCCACTCCCGTTCAACCAGCGCTCTTTCCACAACCGACCCCCATGGCCAGTCAGGTGACCTGCATGATCAGACCTCCCAGTCCTTTTCGGTTCCCCCAAAATTGCATTTATCTCAGAGGCAATAATGCATATTGCACACGCATGCCTCTGTGGTTGTGTATACGGTGTTGTGAAAGTAGGCAGCATCCATCATTCATTTACTTAAAGGTTCAGTGTGTAGAATTTAGTGACATCTAGTTGTGTAGTTCCATATTACAGCTTAATGCCCCTCACTTCACCCTCACCTTATAAATATGACAGAGAACCTGTGGCAGCCGTTAGTTGTCATACAAACTCAAAAGTTGTTTCGTTTGTCCAGTTCGGGCTACTGTAAAAAACATGGCGGCCTCCGCAGAGAGGACCCACTCTCTGTTAATATAAAGTATTTAAATATAAAGCACCCATTCTAGGGTAAAGAAAACAACAATTCATACAATTCAGATAAAACACACAAGTGAAACATCACTTGGATACTAAATTTCTGCCAATAGTTCCCTTACAACCAAATCTAACAAACTGAACCTTTAATTCCCCCTCCATTTGTAATATGTTAAAGCATTTTATTTAGTTTTTAAGCAAACAGGAAAGGTAAGCAGAGAGAAAGTGCATTTGTCCGCAGTCATCTTTTCATCATCTTGTCCCTTCATCCCCATTTTATATTTTCAGTCCCTTAGACAAACCTTTTTCATATTAGCTGTGCATATTTCTGTGGAATTGTCATCTTCAGACTTTGGTATGCTGACTCAGTTTGGCTTTATTTGTTGTCACATTGTTTATGATTTGTGGGTCATGTCTCATTTGGCACTGTGCAGTTTGTCTGTGGTTGAAAAAGTTATATTTCTTTGCTCAGGAGGAGCTTGTTTTGTTACATTTGTTTTATATCTGCTGCCATCTGGTTCTGTCATCCTTTGAATTTGGTGAATCATGCATCTGTTGTTTTAATTTTTTTTATACATTTAACATAAGCTCATATTTGTGTAATTTCCTCTTTAGTGTATTGTTGGTGGTACATCACTGGGTGATCCTGTACTTTGTTTTTCCTTTTGTATCTTGTTGTTTTTATTTGGCTTCTGGTGGTTGGCTTCTTAAAAATAGGTCCTTCTAGTGAAATGTTCAGCTCATTCACTCATATTATTTTGCTTTATATTCAAATGTGTCCAAAAGAAAAAGGTACTTTCTCTGTAAGTGGTGTATGAAAAGCAATCTTTGCTTTTTTCTCTATTCAGGTAAGTGACAGTGATTGCTTAACTTTATTCACTCACTGTCCTACTGTTCTTCTTTACTTCCTGGTTAGACCGTTACGGTTTGATTCATCAAGCAAGAATCTCTGCATCAGTCAATGCCATGAGGGTCCTTAATACTGGCACTGAGGTGGAGGCAGCAGTTGCTGATGCTCTGGTAAGTTTCTTTTGAAATCTGACTTTTTGAGAGATTCATGTTTTTACACCAAGAACATGGTTAAAATGGCTTTTAAAACATATTGAAAAAATGATGTAACTGCTGTCTCAGAGTTGCGCTGGAAAAGTCTCATCCTTGCTCATTAAGAGCACTAACTAATTTTGCTTAGTATTATTATTTAGGTATAATTAATATACAAAGCTTCTCAATGCTGTTCAGAAACAGCCTTGTAATGTTGGACCTCTGAGGTCTTCTTGGGCAGACGTCATTTCAGACACAGAATTAGTTATTAGCTTTGATATCTACATCAACCTGTGGTACACCAACGACTTGAACACAGATCTCGGATTTCAGGAGTTTACTTTTGCTTACAATATGACAAGCTGGTGGAACAAGTGTTTGATGTTTTTCTCAAGTCAAAAATCTAGACACATTTCTTTTTATAGGTCACAATGTTTGAATATCATTATAATCTGCAAAATGCATTGAGATGTCTGCATGCTCCGGAGAGGATCTAAACCATAAAGTCAACCAGATGAAATATTCAAATGTCAAGTCGTCTTTTGTATACCCTGTAGAACTGTGGTCTGTGTTGCTCCTTTAAACCTTCCCTCTCTCCTCTTCTCCTCCTGGTTGTTTGTTACCATTTCAGCTATTAGGAGACTCCAGGAATAAGGTAGTTGGTCATTTTACATACTGTTTGTATTATCCATGCCGTCATGCACTAATTAAGTTCAGAAAATAATAATGCAGCTTGGCACATGAGACCCCTTCATCCAGCCCATTTTTTATTTATTTGTTCGTGTATTTCTCTTTAATTCAGCTTTACCTTTAATGTTGAGTGCCATCACATCTCAGATGTCTTCATCTATAGTACCGCAGAAAAGACGTTTTTCTCCACATTGTCATCAATGTTTTGATCCTCATTGTTTGGGTGATTCATACATGTGTATTTCAAGTTTGTGTGATGAAAAATGCTCTAATATCTGAAGCGTTTCCCTCTGCACTGCATTTGTAGTCATGTCATATCCTTTGCTTACTTTTTGCACTGCTGACTGGCCATTGATGTTCATTAAAATAAAAAAAAGATAATTTAGCTAAGGAAAGCATACCATCAGTGTGTGTATAAATGTACCCTTTACATTACAAGTAACAGGAGATGTACATTTCATACAACAGTATAGAAAACTGCATGGCTGCCTGATGCTGACCTCGTATTAAAGATTCTTACCTTGTGGCTCAGTTTATTTGTCTAAGCACTTCCCCTGCGGAGCTTGTTTAACAATTACATATCACATTGTGTGTCTTACATTTCCTTGATGTCCCTTGATGCTCTCTCTCGCAGAGGAAGCCACTGAGGCGGAGGTACGAATCACCAGGGATGTACTCTGATGATGACGCCAACAGTGACGCGTCGAGCGCCTGCTCCGAGCGCTCATACGGGTCGCGAAACGGAGGTATACCTCATTACCTGCGCCAGACAGAGGACGTAGCAGAGGTCCTCAACCACTGCGCCAGCTCCAACTGGTCAGAGAGGAAGGAGGGCCTGCTGGGTCTGCAGAATCTCCTCAAGAACCAAAGAATACTGAGGTAGGATTGAGCTCATGAGGCCAGAATCAAAATGTGACCTTTGGTACTCTGTATGAGTAAATACAAGAACTTGTGATCTGCGTATGTGATGATGAAATATCTCTGAAAAGAAATGTTGCACATAAAGAGCAGTTGTTGCCAAATAAAAACATGGGCGCTGTGTTCAGCTACATTACTCATGTATTTTAACCTAATGTATTTAAACCTTAATGTTAATTAATCATTTTGGGAAATGCCCTGATTACTTGTTTGATCTTTTTGTTCACTACAGCCGAGTGGAGCTGAAGAGACTTTGTGAGATCTTCACAAGGATGTTTGCAGATCCACATAGCAAGGTACAGAAGATACATTTTACTAACTCAAACAAGGACTAATCATGTGTTGTATGTGGAGCCTGTGCACAGAATCCCTTTAAGACTGTTGTACTAATGGAGTGTCTTCTGTTGCATGTTGTGCCTTGCTGTGGATTTAACAACAGAGAGTAAGTGTGCATTTTAGTCCGTATTAACACACATACACACATATATATTTAAGCATCAACATAAGACGCACTTAATAAAAGGCAATGTATCTAAGTTTCTTGTGTGCACACGTTAACAGGTGTTCAGCATGTTTCTGGAGACCCTTGTGGACTTCGTCACAGTGCACAGGGAGGACCTGCAGGACTGGCTGTTTGTCCTGCTCACTCAGCTGCTGAAGAAAATGGGGGCAGACTTGCTCGGCTCTGTCCAGGCCAAAGTCCAGAAGGCCCTGGACATCACAAGGTCTGAAATAAAGCTAACATAACTGGCTGTTGTGCATTTCCAGGGAATGTGGAGCCAGTTCACACTGTTGGAAATGACCTGTTAGTGTGGGAGGAAATAATTAGCAATTAACTTGTGAGTCACTTGGTAATTTGGTGTTTGTGTGTGTGTTATTTTGTCAGTTTATTGTGGACTATCCTCGTAAAATATTATATCTGTACAAATGAAAACCTCAGTGAGATCAGTTTGAAAGACACATGACCTAAGCTGCTCTGTCAGGAGTCAGTGTACTTTATCTTTTCATTGTGCTGACTGATACAATCTCGTAAACAGCAACTGGTGTTTCAGTAAAAAATAAAAATGTGTAATATTAAGGAAAAAACTTTTCTTCGTGTCTCAGGGAGTCGTTCCCGTTCGACCAACAGTTCAACATTCTGATGAGGTTCATCGTCGATCAGACTCAGACACCAAACCTTAAGGTGAATTAAAATAAGAAACACTCGATTCTTTATGGAGGAAAGCTGATGACTGGTGGACGTTATGATTAAAGCAGTTGTCTGTTGACTCTTCAGGTAAAGGTTGCCATTTTGAAGTACATCGAGTCCCTGGGTCGACAGATGGACCCGACAGACTTTGTCAACTCCAGCGAGACACGCTTGGCAGTGTCTCGCATCATCACCTGGACGACTGAACCCAAAAGCTCTGATGTCAGGAAGGTAGGCCAGCTCTGAGTCAAATCTAATTGGCGATCGAATCTTCCAACCTAGTTTCTTTAGCCCACTTTTTTAGAACTTGTGAATCTTAAAGATGAAATATCCTCTTGAATATTTCTGTTTCTTCAAATTTATTAAGGATGCATATGTCTAATAGATGTTTTTAAGCTATGAATTAGTTTGAGGTCAAACAAGGTGTGATACAGGATATAATAAGCACTAATCCTGATGGTGGAATGTCATAAATGTAACACATGGAAAACCAGGGCCCACCACTGTATCCTTGTGCTTCCAGTTAAATGAAAAGTTGACACTCTAGATCCTCCATCAAAAGTTCTCTATCATGATTTTTGCCTAACACCGAATTACATGGTGGCGGGTTGCCTTTCTAAACTCTCTTAGCAGGCAGGTGAGCAAACTTATAGCAAAACTAACTGCTTTAACTTTATTGATTACATTTTTTTTTCAGAAGAGAACTGCCTTCCACAAAATTGACCTGTTCTTAAAAATCAATCGGAGGGTTTACTCCACAACCAGTGGCAGGTTGTTCACGCCCAGTTTTTTTGAAATTGAAATTTTGTTATTATTATTATTTGTCTGTGGTAGGTTTTTTAGGAGCCTCTATACGTAGCCCTCATTGTGATGGCCTTGGCTCATGGCACGTTTCCCTTGTCTGACGCACACCATATGTTCTCCCTGTGTTTGTTTTTCCTTCACTGTTTTTCCAAGTGAAATCCTCACCTAGTTTCTAATCAGGGTCTGACGTCCAGGAGGCTGAAAACAAAGTGTGAGGATAGAAGAGTTAATGTAATCCTCAGTTTACGCTGTTTCCATGAGTAAAGAGTCTGAGAAGAGTGACCCTCACTATGGTGGTCTGTGGCAAGCTGTTCTAAAAGTTAGGTGCAGTATTGCCACCTGTGATGGTGCAGGACCTGTGTCATGCTGTAATGCCCATTCTGCCTTGCCACTGTGCCCCAGACCCTTCATAGCTGGGTGAGCGAGGAACTAGCTGGCAGGTCCAGTACTGCCGCCTTACTGTCCACTGAGGGCAACCAGGAAGAAAGGTGTAAGCAGGTAGACCCCGCTCCCGTTAGCCAATCACAACACGACAAGCACGCAATGCCCTGCCTGCCCGGTGCCTAACCACCAACCCTCAGGACTGTGAAAAGTGTGGCATTCTCACTCACCTCTGCCGTTTATGCTCCAGCTGTTTCGCTGTAACAACCTTCTAGTCAGTCTGTGCTTGCAGTTTGATCACTCACCAAATAGATGAAGCTTGTTGTGCAACCGGATAAGTTATTTTTGGTATTTTTTTCCAAATTACAGCAAAGGCTTGTTGCTTTGTATGAAAGAGACTTGGAGTCAATCCTATCGCTTAATATAGATAGAAATGCTATTTTGTTATTATTGTGTGCCTAACACATTTTGTCTGTTTGTCTGTTCACTCTAACAACCTTTCATTCACCTGCATTTCTGCATGCTGTTAACATTTAATTGTTCTGCATTGAAAATCTGACTCATTCTTATGTATAGTGTACTAGATATAGTATAACTAAAAGTTAGCAAGTCATTGTAGCCTCTACTGTATCACAAAACTGTGTATGTTGGTCTTTAAATGCCTCGAATACTGTGGTAAACATTTCAGGAAAAGTTTGATTTTAGTATCTGTCTTAATTCAGAATAATACTTCATCTTGGTAACCCCAAATTCTATCCCCCCCCTACAAGATCAAACTTCTACTTTCCACAAAGTGTATATGTACTCACTTGCATGTTGTAACATCGATATAGCAACAGAGTACACCAGTGTTCTTGAGTAGTTGTGTACTTCTGTAGTCTTCCACTGAATGCAGCTTTCAACTCTCACCTTATAACAAGTTTCTTTCTACAGGCTAATCCGTACGTTAGTCTACTAAGGAATGCACTGTAATCTGAGAAGTTTCCATGGTTTAAAACTGTTTGAATCTGTCCATCAGATTGGTCCTCCGTGGTTTTGCAGATGCTGACCAAATTAAACATTGTTACAGAAATTCATAATTCAGTCATAACATGTAATTTCTGTGCTTTTTACATATTCTAAAACAATCATTGGATTTCTTCTGAGTCACTGCAGTAAAATTTGAAACACATGGTCAAAGTACCTCTGAAACCATGGAAACCCTCTGAACCTTCTCCTCTGTTGTGTCCGCCATTGTAAACCTGTCGTGCTAATTTGCCTCCAGGCGGCCCAGGTGGTACTGATCTCCTTGTTTGAGCTCAACACCCCAGAGTTTACCATGCTGCTGGGAGCTCTGCCCAAAACCTTCCAGGATGGAGCCACCAAACTGCTCCACAACCACCTGAAGAACTCCAGCAACACCAGCAGCAATGTGGTAAGGGAAATGAAACACTGTAGTATCTGATATTATTCACAGAGATGGTCAGCATAGATGAAAAGCTATGCACAACTGCTTGGAAGTTATAGATCAGTAGAATCATCACATAGCAGGGTTAACACATTGCATTCATCATTGCTCTCCAGGGCTCACCGAGCAACACTATTGGACGGACACCGCCACGCCACACCCCCAGCAGAACCAGCCCCCTCACATCTCCGACCAACTGTTCCCATGGTGGACTGTCTCCAAGGTACCCAATCACTGATCACGTGTTAACACAACAGTACTAACTAATGCATGGCTGTGCTGTAGTCATCTGGATACCGCTGCTTTCATTTGGAGTTTTAACTAACGCACAAACTACCAGGCAGGTTAGTAGAAGCTGGAAACTGAGTGAGTTGCTCAGAGAGATGACAACATATCCTGTCTTCAGACATACATGGCATATTATGGCATCAATGCAGTTCTTTCAAGTAAAACTGTCTTTCACTCTTTAGTCTGTGAACCTGTCACTTGGAATCTGTTGTGCATGAGAGTGACTTCATTGCCCGTGCACCCCTAGGTAACAGATTTTGTGGTAAATGCTATTTAAAAAAAAAGTTTAAATCTCTCCAAACTGAGCAGCTCACTCACCTTTAGCACTGCACTGCCTTTTTATTTCAACCAGAGACCCAAGAACACTGCAGATTTGATGTTCCCTTCTTGTGATTACTATAGTTGAACCTGAAAAATTCTCTGTGTTGAGACCATTCTGGTTGACAACATGGAAAATGGCCCCTCAATAATTGAGGGGGGTGGTGTTTTATGTAAAGCCGATTTTTTGGGATTCTGCTACTTTTCCACTGCTCTCCTCTAAATTAACACTTTCCCTTGAACCTCTAAAGCTCAGACTAGTTTCTTTTTGTCTTTTCTCTTTCTGCACACTTGTTTTTCTCCTCCTGTCCATCTTGTCTCGTGGTCTCCTCGTGTTGTCGGTTTCCATCTCCTGTTCCCCACTATCTCTCTCTTCCTATCCTGTCTGTCCATCCTTCCCTCCCGGCCGTGCTGTGGCAACAGTCGGTTATGGGGTTGGGGTGTCGACGGACTGTCAAAGCACCCCCCTGCTCCTCCTCCTCCTCTTCCTCCGCCTCACTCCACCCCTGCTGCCCCTTCCCTAAGGGTCCTGCGCAGAGCATATTCACCCAGGTAATGAGGTTGGCTGAGACACAGATGTTGCCCACAAGGAAGCCCGACCCTTTGCATGATTGAGATTTCCCTTTTCCATACTTTCCTGCCTATACATACAGTACATGTATTACTCCATTGTCTAAAATCAAATGGAAATATTGTCTAACATTGCTTCGGTGCTTTGGTCAATGTCATGTTTTGTGTGAAATCCTGAAGCTTCACTCTCTAAAAACAGATTTTTGTGAAAAAGCAATGCTAAAGCACTCATCGGTGGCAAAACAACTGTGTTCTTATTTACCTGCTTCTGATACACACTCTGTTTGTGTCTGTGTTAGTATGATGGAGTACGACACTGAGAACATGAACTCGGAGGAGATCTACAGCTCGCTCCGTGGTGTCACTGAGGCCATTCAGAGCTACAGCTACCGGAGCCAGGAGGACCTGAATGAGCCAATCAGACGGGACGGCAAGAGGGATGACACTGTGAGTCATACCCTTTTCAAACATGTTCTGGAATATTCTTGCTCTTTTCCTTTAAAAGGGATAGTTCACCCAAAAAAGAAGATTCACTCATTATCTACTCAACACTACGCTGATGGAAGCTACTAACGTCAAAGTTCAGCAAACTTGAACTCCACGTGAAGTCAAGCTGCGATTTTCCTTGCCACAGGATACAAATGTTTTATTTGCCTCCTCACTCTCACAGATTAGAAGTGATAAAGAAGCGAAGGTCTGTCACTCGTATCTTTGGTCCTAAAGCTACAGAATTTTTGGGGCAGCAAAAAAAAACATTCTTCCAAAGCCCCTGTTCCATTAAAAAACATATTCCTGTGTTTATCTGAAGCTAATTTTAAGACTCATGATGAACAAGTCCTTTTTAGAAAAGATCTCTTGAGACAAGAAAATAGGACGACTACAACCTGAATTAATAAATGTTACTTTTCTGCTGTTTCTGTATCTCTCTCTTTCTATCTACCCTTTTTGTCTCCCAGGCTGGGCGAGAAGGAGTAGCGGCATCCCCTGGCTCCGACGCTCGCTTGGGCTTGGACATGGTGGAAGGAGGTCGCACCGCCTTGGATAACAAAACCTCTCTACTCAACACGCCATCGCCACGCTCTTTCTCTGGGCCACGCAGCCGCGAGTTTGCTCCTTATGGCTACGGAGATACCATCTGTACCTATGACAAGAGCGCCTTGAAGGAGGCCGTCTTTGATGATGACGTGGAGCAGTTCCGTGACTGTGAGTTACATTACATTACATGTTACATTTCATTTAGCTGACGCTTTTATCCAAAGTGACCTACAATTAGTGCATCAACCATGAGGGTACAAACCCAGAACAAGAATCAAGTAAATACAATTTGTTTAAAAAAAGCCAAACTACAAGTGCTTCATGTAAGTGCCATATAAGAGACACTAAATGTATTTATCTTATTTTTTCTTAATATAGTTCACGTAGTAACAAAGCTACAACACTGCCTATTTCATTTTATAGGCATACAACTTGCTTCATTTTTGTGTATCAGTGGTAGCTTCCATGTCTCTAATTATCAATACTTAGTGATGCTGCAGTTAGAAAGTCAGTGTCTCTATGCAGCAGCAGAATAGAGTGTGACTTGGGCCACATTTTCCTATAATGGCCAAGCCCGACTCAAGCCCGGCAGGCATTTTGTTTATTTTGTTTGAACCCAGCCCGACCTATTTCTCAACAACAGAGTCACATCACAGAGTGATGGAGTTTTATCACATGATGAGGAGAGAGCTGACAGATGTCGATGATAAATGATAATTTGGTATTAAAACATAATTCAAACATTGAATAATCTGAGAGTCTACCATCTCAACAAGGTCAGTGTGTTTGAGATACAGAAACAGTGAGAGAGAGAAAGAGAGAGAGGTGCGGAGAGCTGTACACTTTACAATGAAGCAACAGCACAACACTTCTTAAAGGTATTATATATTATTAAGAGAGACCATCACAATCTGGATAATTAAATGCTGCACAAATCTTATGCAGCAGAAGAGTGAGGCTGCTCACGGCTCCAACATCACCAATTTCACTCAAAAAACGCTGTACAGACACTGAGCCAACACACGTCTTTTCAAAAAGTCCGGTGTTGTCACAAGTTTATTACACTGTTGGATAATTTCCACACAGTGGCATCTATATTCTAGAGATGATCTTGCTTTTGAACAAAGTGGGTTTAATATACGGCCAGTAGGGATGTCAAATGTTGGTGCCACGGTTATTGTCTGAGGAAATATCACAGTTTCACGATTTTCACAATTATTGATACTATATAAGGAAAAAGACACAACAATATATAGCGAATATATAGTTAATATGGTTACTAATATAGCTAAAGAACTAAAATACGTATTATTATCATCAACAATATCCAATTAGGTTTTATAGTGTAACGTTTGACTGTTTAAAAGAAATTTATGTAAGCTATTTTATTTAGTTGCCTTATTGTGGAAGGTTGGTCAGTGAATTTGTGTTTCCTGTCATCATAAGCAGTGTATTTGTATAGGACTTTTATTGTGAATGGTCACCAACGTGTGCGTGTGTGTGTGCGTGTGTGCGTGTGCGTGTGTGTGTGTGTGTGTGTGTGTGTGTGTGTGTGTGATGGCGTTGTTTGTCCAGCGTTAGTGGAAATAAAGCCGTGAAGTCAGTTCCCTCTTCTCAACTAACATTTCAGTGGCTCGCGCACACAAATCTCGAAGTTTTTACAATTCTTAGTGACGTTATGAAACCGCGGATATCGTAAAATCGGGTAATCCCAACATCCCTAACGGCCAGATATAATACTGTTGTCCACTGCACATTAGTAGAAGTGCAGTGTGAAATCTGAAATATTCAGCATCAGTGAAATGGGGCTATAAGGGCACAAACTAGCGGCCCTCACACACACATCATCCCTCCAACCCATGTGTCATCCACCATCACTCTACTGTATAATGTGACCATATCATATTGTATATAAACAAAAACAATGATATTCTGCAAAGCCACAGCTGCTGTGTGAGGCTGAGCCTTGACACAAGATGGAGATGAAGTAGATGAAACTTTCTGTGCAGTAGTTTCACCACAACCACAATTCGGTCTGTGCATCGCTGTGTTGTCATCGCATCCTGTGCCTCCTGTCTCCCCTCTGTCCCCCACCTCCATCCCTCCTCCACCCCACACCCTCCTCCTCCTCCTCCTCCTCTCCAGGCCGACGTCAGGAAAGTGGTGAAAACAAGATGACGCTCCCCAAGGTCTTTGGTCCCGGTAAAGAATCCTCCCCTCCGACACCGACAGACTTAATGACTGAACTACTGTCTGACTCCTTTACTGACCATCCGTACCATCACTCCACTCACCCTCTTTCTGTGTTTGCATTATTCACTTTGCTCTCAAGTCCCATCACTCTTTCTTCTTGATCCTCTAACTTTTTTAACTCCACCTCGTCCCTTTGTGTTCACTAAGTCCAACCTGTCTTACTTTAAATCAGAACTAGCAGGTTAATGTTTTTACCAAATGGTTGTAGGATTCTAATTTAAGTTTGGGTGGTTCTAACAGTACGACTAAAGATCTTTTTTATACGGCATAATTAATAACGTCATATTCTCAACAATTACATAGCTTGATATCCACAGCACAATGCATCTTAATATCTACAGCACTGACTTTAAATGCCTGTATATATATTGTTTATGTTCACTGTCAATTTATTGTTAAAATCCATTTTTAAATTATCAAACTGTTGGCTTTCAAAACTCCAAATTAGACATTCGTCACTTACTTGGCTGTTAGCTGGACAGAGCTTTACTCTTCTCATTTGCTCTGCATTTTCCATCTTAACATTTTCCATCTTAACATATTCGTTCTTACCATAGCCATTGTTTCTGAAAAACAAGTGAAAACATCCATTTTTAATTGGTTATCCAATAACATACTTTATAAGCAATTTAATTATGTTTAAAACAGGTACAAAAGTTTCCTGCCACACTTTTCCTCTAGTTTAAAAAAAAAAACCTGAGGAGTGATGACAGATCAAATGGGTGATGAATTACATAAAGAAATTATTGTTATTCACTTATTAACTCATCTCTTCTTCTCCTCTTCTTCGCAAGCAATCGGTCAGGACCACTCAGACCTTGTAGCCGACCTTCTTAAGGAACTGTCCAATCACAACGAGCGTTCAGAGGAGCGTAAAGGAGCCCTGGTGGAGCTGCTGAAGATCACTCGAGAAGACAGCATGTCCGTGTGGGACGAACACTTTAAAACCATCCTGCTTCTCCTGCTGGAGACGCTGGGTGATAAAGATGTATGTTAAATAATGACTCATCATGACTCAAAATGCTCACAGAGCATCAGGGAAAAGTTCAATCTTCAGAAATAGAGAGAATGTTTGTGTGGATATTTAGAGATTACCTGCGTATGAAAGAGCAGAGTATTTAATGGACTGTCTATCCCATTGTATCCCTCAGCACACCATCCGAGCCATGGCCCTCCGTGTGCTCAAAGAAATTCTGAGGAATCAGCCAGCTCGCTTCAAAAACTATGCCGAGCTGACCATCATGAAGACTCTGGAGGCTCACAAAGACTCGCACAAGGAGGTACACAGCTCCCACTTCATCCACACACTACACTATACAGTATATATTATATCATACAAAGTAATTTCCCCCTTTGTGGGACAATAAAGGTATTCGGATTCTGATTTCAGATATGCATTAATTGCCTTTTTTACCACTTGGAGGCAGTGTAACAAGCTGAACACACAACATCAACATGTTATGGATACTAGTTGTAAAACTGCGTCCAGAGATATGAGCATTTGTTTAATGTATCTGAGAGCTGCAGAGTTCATTCTCTCTATGTCCATTGCTACAAGCAACTCAACACTGTCATTAAACCCCTTGTTTATATAACATATAATGTGGGCAGCTTGAAATCATAGATCACAGAGTCCCTTTATTACAAATTAAAAGAGAAACATAGTTCTACAGTGTTAGCAGTGAGTCCAGAGACAAAGAATAATATTTTACTCATTAAATTGAGTTGGGAAAGTCAAAATTCCTTATACTTTTATTTTGAAAAAATGGAAAATGAAAAAATTGGAATGAGTGCTGTTACACATGTTGTAACAGCACTCATTCCAAAGCTGCATGTTGAAGACATACAGCCTTGATTTCAGGAGGTTAGTAATTGTTGGCTTTAAAAGATGCTACAGCGCCTCATTAGGGCTGTACAGTCTGGTCATCAATATGAGAACAGTTACAATAGCTGAACTAAATAACCCCAACATTTGAGCCGTAACTCAGATGCTCAGGTATGCAGTAGTGGAACTTTCAGATCTAGAATGAAAAATCACCACCATGGTAAAGAGAGTGGAAAAGAAAATCCTGGATCTGCCTCAAAATGGATTCTTTCCTGACTCATACTGCAACCTTCCAAGTTTGTGGTAATCCATTTTGTGTCATCTTGCTTACAAACCAACGGACAGGGGTGAAATCATGACCTCCTTGGCCAGATAATAATCCACAGTTGTGTTCAAAAGCAAACAACAACAAAAAAAACACCATTTACTTAAATGTTTACTAGTATTTGTAATTCTTTAGTGTGTGGCTCTTTTTAAATTACTTTAGAATAGATATTTAAGTCCTTTACAAGGTTTGTTCAAGGACACAACTGTGAGAGGAGATGCCAACATATTCATTCTGATTACACACCAGTTGTCACCAAATTACGCTGATTTGTTATTTCCCTTACACTGTACGATTAACCTCTCGTGTATGTGTTTGTGTGCTTCTAGGTGGTGCGTGCAGCTGAGGAGGCTGCAGCTACCCTGGCCGGTTCCATCCACCCGGAGCAATGCATCAAGGTCCTGTGCCCTATTGTCCAGACAGCCGACTACCCCATCAACCTGGCTGCCATCAAGATGCAATCTAAAGTCATTGAACGCATCGCCAAGGACTCACTACTGCAGCTCCTGCCAGACATCATCCCTGGACTCCTGCAGGTCTGACTCAAAGCTGGATTTGGGTTGTTAGATTTACTGAAAGACAGATTCTGAAACCCAAATTTGTTACTTTATGTGACAGGACACCTGCTTCAAACATTTTAATAAAACTCAAAACGGATCTGAAAAAGCACTGACATATGGAGTAGACATTGTTTGCCAGACATATCTACCAAATGTCCCTAATCTACACACATTAAATAACATGAAAACAGGGTTTTCAGGACAGACGTAGTAGAAACATCCTTGCTGGCTTCAAAAAGGCTTATTTGGTCAATGTTCATATTTGGACACTGGGAATGATTTGCCTTATTTGTCCCTGGAAATGTTTGCGTGTACTCTGCACTATTTGCAACTCCTCCCGGGTTCCTGCTGACCCCGTGTGTGTGTGTGTGTGTTTGTGTCTGTCTGTCTGTGATGCCTTCTCTTCTCTCTGCAGGGCTATGACAACACAGAGAGCAGCGTACGCAAGGCCAGCGTGTTCTGTCTGGTGGCCATCTACTCTGTGATTGGCGAGGATCTCAAACCCCATCTGGCTCAGCTCACGGGCAGCAAGGTACTGAATGCCGCCAAAAACATTTTGCATAACCACACACATACACACACAGTTACATAAACCTCTTCACCAGACGCAGACCCTTATCATCTTCCCATGTTGTCATTTCTCAGCTGGTTCTAACCGGTTCTCCACTTATTAAGCCCGGGTCCTATTTGTCTTGCTTTTCACTACGTGTCCCAGGGTTATATAAGTTTTGAGGTCTGAGGGTCAGGTTCACATAGATGAAGGGACCCTTCCCGAACCACGCCCACCCTCCACCTCTGATCGTGAGGGTGGCTGGTTATCTGAAAGGAGTCAATAATGCTCAGTGTTGAATGAGGGTAGCTGATGAAGCACTGGCACACTCTCAAGTTGTCCCGGTCATATAAAAAGGCAAAATGATAAGGAGTTAAAAGTGCATATTCAAGAGGACAACAGACTTTACTCAGGCCCAAGACCACTACATTACATTATGTTAAATTTTAAAAACCAGAGGATATCAGATGTTAGCAGGGGATCGTGTTTGTACTGACAACCAGTATAAAAGACAGAATTTTTACACACATGAGCTTCTACTTGAGAGTAAAGAATGAGAGGCTCTGACTTTAATCAGCACAATGTAGCTACTGTATCAACATTTAGATAAACATGTGTTCACGATGGTTTTTTATAGTTCTAAGATAAGGCTGGATAGTTAAATTATTATAATGCATTATGTTTCATTTGATAAAGTCAAATCTGTGATTGCTTCGATCTGAGATCAAATAGTCATGTTGCTTTAATGAACTAGCCCATAGATATTTCCTTTTCCCTCAGTTGTTTTCCTTTTTCTTGAGATGTTTGGGACAGTCACTTTAATAATATAGTCTTGGAGTAATATTTTGTAAAATCACAGAAAAGACAAATTCTCAAAGCTGCAGGTTTTATCATTATGTGACTTTAATACATTGGCTCAGTCTGTAAGCAGAGGGTCAGGGAGACATTCTGTATAAATAGATACAAATATTGATTACACATTTATTATACACATTTCAGACACAGAAACATTCCTTAAAGGGATAATTCACAGAGAAATGAAAATTCACTCATTATCTCCTCAGCACAATGCTGATGGAGGGTGGGTGAAGTCCACAAAACACTTTTGGAGTTTCAGTGGTAAACAGTGTTACGGCCAAATTCAATGCAATGGAAGTAATTGGTGACCACTTCAAATGTAAAAAAACATAAAATGATAATGAGTCCATATTTATTTTTTCCGGCGAACCATCCCTTTAAGCTCAGCACATAAAGAATTGATTTAACTTACCTTTAAATTCAAAATCAACAACCTGACCATCAAACAATCATGGGGGAGTGGACTTCATGTGCAGCATGTTTCTCACACTTGTTTAAAATAAACCCTTCATCAACATAGCTGCCTGAGCTACTGTGCTACTCTCGCTGACACTACATCTGTGAGCAGTATAACAAGGTTGTTGTGATGCTAATAGATAATCATAAAACTCTGCTTTTAGCAGGCGTCTTAATGAAGCTTTTAAAGTAACATCATATAAACCAACATCCTAACATTAGTTTCTGTTTTGCACCTTATTGTCTCTTCAAGTTTCTTTTCAGTGATTTTGCTCCTGAGAATACCACACACTGTTTATTGTAAATAATTCACATTATAACCAGATTCATTCTAATAATGTTTAGATAGTTCTCATAATGTATGTTTAGCCAGTATAAAAACAATACATACTTTATTTTTCTGACTTTTATAATTTTATCTTTATTGAGAAAGTGTAAATAATGCAACCTGCTCTGGAATCTTACATCTATTTAAATGAAACAGAACAACACTATTTGGTTGGAATGCATAAAACGCTAAAAAAGTTTTCAGGCATGAAATTCAGAGAATCTCAGTTTGGGGTCCATACTTTGCTTTCCACCGCAACACAGAAATCTCTGGAGCATTCAGGTGAGGGTTGGTGCAGAGGCAGAATGTAGCGTATGACTTCCACTGCGGAGAGCACATGGTTTTTTTTTAAAAGCACATCAACACCAGTGTCCGCTCTCATCACCAAAAGCTCTCTCGCCATCTTCATCTGTGTCTACTACGTGAATGGCACCACTTTTTCATTCTGAGATATTAGTGTTCTTTTGCTTTTCTTTCATTTATGCATCTGATTTGTGTTAGAAATATCATCAACACACTGACACGCTCGTATTGACCCCTGGAGAGGGTCTCCTGCTGTCTACTCATATGGGCACACTCTGGACTTTTTACTAAGACTGGTAGAAACTACGGAGAAAGCTCCACAGTACAGTGCATGTCTGACAGCAGCTTAGGATACTTGCCTATTGTATGTTGCTTCCTTAAAGTGACGATGAATACACCCAGGCCTCATCTTACTGCTGAAGTGAACATTAATGCCTCGTGTTTGTGTGTCTGCAGATGAAGTTACTGAACCTGTACATCAAGCGAGCCCAGACGACCAACAGCAATAGCAGCAGTTCCTCTGATGTCTCCTCTCACAGTTAATAGAGCGAGGTTTCATTTGGAAACGGCGTGGATGGACGGCGTTCAAGGATTTCCAGGGGCATGGCCGTGCTTCTCTCGGACTTCTCCGTGTCTGAGCTTCCCCTCCTCCTCCTCCTCCTCCTCATCATCATAATGCTCACGCTCCACTGTGCTTCTCTCCTGTTTCGAGGGGCTGCCGTCAACCTGTTTGTCCACCCCACCCCCCCTGCTCTCAATACTTGTGAATGTAACTCCGGGCTGGTTTTAGACTTGGTGGGGAGGGAATCAACGCGTTAAGAGTCTTGTGGACATGGGAAATGCATTATGGCTCCCACGACCCCCACACTGCCTTTTGTCAAAGTTATCCTCTTCCTCCTTGAGCTCTCAGATTTGGTAGCATAGGGAGTTCATACATGAGTTATTCACATCAGAGGAGAGACACGTGTCTGAGAAACTTCTGTCGATTTAAAAACAATTTGGGATGAAGTGTCATTTGGCTGGCCCAATGATGGTAATAAGCCTGTAGGCTTTGGGATGAATTCTGGTTTGGGAGCATGAAAACCAAATATTACAAGAAATGTTCAAGGGAACAATGTGACATAAAAAGAAAGTACTGTATAATTATATTAAGTTAATGTTTTAAGTTAATGATCTGGGTTCATAGAAGCCTGTGTTTTGATTGTAGTCTTTTTTATGTTCATATATAATTAAGAGTGGCTTATTAAATTGAATCCCCCTTTGACAAAATAGATGTTTCTCTCAACAAGGTACCAGTAAAAGGAAACGTGTCAGCAAGAGAAGTGACAATCCTTCAAATGTTGTGCATGTCTTTATTTGGAGCTGGAGAAGATGAAATTGTCGTCTATAAATGCACCTTTGAAAATTTGATGTGAAATTCCCAATCGGAGTCGAGGTGTGGCCCAGGAGAAGTTGTGTTGCCTGTAGTTTCCCCCTGAACTCTCTGCATTAAGCGTGGAAATGGAGCTTTTGACAAACCAGCGACATCTAAATCTACATGACTGCTGCTCAGTACGACGCACGCTGGGTGACGTGTCTGCGTCTGAAGAGGACGGCCTTTGTAAATATTACACGTGATTGGAGCTGAGAGAGAGACCAGCGATCCAAGACTGTCATAAAGACATTGCCAGGCCTTATTCACTTTACACACGCTAATGCTTGTTGACTGGGACTGCAGAGCGTGAATGGGATGTACAGCACTGTAGCTCTTTGCTCAAAAAATGTGAATCTGCAGGAGAACAGACCCTGGTTGAGTTTTTTGCTGAAGAAGCAAACACAGTATTAGTTGTTGCCTCTGCGCTCCTTCAGCTCCCCCAACATGTAGCCACAGCTTCTGCAATAACCATTAACACACACATTAAGGTATTTTGTACATACACTTTTTCCACCACTGCCTCGCAAAATTTTACAAAATGTCAGAAAAAGTGAAACAGGCTGACGGCCCCGAATTTTTTGCACGTTAGCAAATTAGCTTGCATGAAATCTGCAGCACCTTTTGGCAGCATTGTGCGATTTTGCAGGGCCCAGGTTGTTGGCTGTTAAAGTGCACTTGTAACATCACCAGGTTACTCATCTGTAATGTTTGGGAGGAGGCCGTCACATTAACTGTGCTCACGTGGAAAAAGGTACAAAGTGGATCAAACATCTGTTGACTACAACACGTGTCAGATAGAAATAAGTCGGTAGATTTGCTCAGGCAGGATGTTGAGGATTGTGAATTTAGATTTCAGCTCTAAGTCTGAGCTTTAAAATGTTTGATTCCTGCAACAAGACGCTGCACAGATAGTGAGGAAGAGTTTCCTCATTTGATCAGATATTTATTATTGGATATGATTAAGTTAACCATGGTACAGTTCATCTACTGTCAATCAGACTGCTACTGCTTTTTTAAAATTCTCGTCATTTGCTAACTTCTAGCAAATCAATAATAATAATAATGAATATTAATAATATGTTCACTTTGACACTCACTGAGTGAAGCGGTGACAATGGGCCAATTCTGCTTATCTAAGTAAATGAATGTACAGAATTTGCATATGTTATAATTTGCTTTTATGAGTATTGGTACTGAAAGTCATTTCAATTTGCCTCCCTGCTCTCTGCTTGACTTTCACCGAAATCCCTTCCACAGTCTCACCCCGGGTTAATCAGCCAAGCTTTGTTTTCAGTGGGGTTTTGCAGAATGAGGGAAAATTTCAGCAAACCACCGGCCTCTGGCATCTCGCGTTGTCACATAGCTGCTCCCAGAAACAGACAAGATGATATTCCTTGCAAACTGTTCACTATGCATGTTCTGCAGTACACTGTCTTTCTTTTGTCATGTAATATTCATACCTGTATTTATATATTTTATTTTATTTTATTCTCTCATGATAAACTGTACAGAATGTTTTTTTTTTTTTGTTAAAATACACCTGTGATAGATTTGCAACAATATAAAGAAACTGTTTGCTCTCGAAATAAACCGACTCAGAGCTCATCTGGATTTTTTTGTTCTGCTTATTCATCCCAGATTTCACCATTTCTAACAAGTTACTTCATTTGCAACATCTCAACAAGTTTCAATCTCAGCTCCCACCACTTCTTGGTTTTCCTCCGAGGTCAGCTTGAACCTTGACTTCCACAGGGGTCCTGGCAGCAGTATTGCCCGTTTGTCCATCCATTTACGAGCACATGCATCCAAGCGCTTAGGTGTGCTTACGCTCTGTATAAACATTAACCTGGCCAGAGTTTGAAATGAACTGCTCCTAATCTCTGAGGAGACGGAGCAGCAGCTGCAGCAGGGCTCTGTACTCAGCCTGCTCACCGTATGTTCTATTTACTCAAACATGGATTTTGAGATTAAACATTTAAAGTGTGAAGCAGGATTTTAACCAGTAATGTTTCATTTACCAGCTCTGTTACCATTATTACTTTTATTTGTGGTTGTGATATCAAAGACGAAACTACTGCTCATTGAAAGCTGCCTTGATTTTTTTTATTTATTATGAAATACCGCAGATATCAAGTTCTTCCTTGAAAAGATAATTGTTTGTTGCCATTCATGTGAATCCCACTCTTACGTCTCATTGTTTGTTTTCCAAATTTCCTCCCCAGACATCATTTCCCTAAGTGAGTTTAAAGTCTAGGTTTAGGGCCAAACTGTTGGCAGAGTCAACAACAGGCCAAGTGAAGCTGCCATTAATGCATCAACCCAGCCAGACATGGGTTGTGGGAGGTGTGTCCCCACTCCCCGCCTCTCAAAAGGTCATCCAAGGTATGCCGATGATATCACCGGCAGATATAAGAGGCAGGCGATGAGGTCCGCCTGCAAAACCCCCTTTGTGCTGAAGTTTGAGGAGGCCGTGCAAAGCTCGCTCCGTGTGTCTCACCTGAGGTCCGAGGATACGAGAGGACGTCGCACTGGACAATATGCTGTTCTGCCATTCCCAGCCTGAGTCCTACCACCAGCACTCTGCCAGTTACATTAGGTAAAGCAGACATGTTGAGAGGCGTCACACACCTGTGGATTTCAGGCATGTTCATGATAGAAGGGTTCGTTTTAGAGTGTCATAGTAGCAAAGCAGTGACCTTTACTTACAAAAGAGTATCTAGAAAGTTTAGATGCTCAAATGGCTTAAAAATGTATTTGTTAAATGTGCACTGCTGCAGTAATCTGCCTCTGAAATCCTGTATTTATTATTATTTATAATCATAATTTCATCGACTTTTGAATTGCATTTGAATGGTTAATTATAAAGGAGCATTGCATTCAAAATCCACATTTCGATTGCAGCTATAGATTCTATAGACTCCTGTTTCTCTCGCTGTGACTTAACATTTGTGCTGCATGAGTAACACTGTTTTGCAACATCACATGTTTCTTTGCACATGGAACTGATTAGATTAAAAAAAAAAAAAAAAAAAAAAAAAAAAAAAAAAAAAACAAAAAAAAAAAAAAAAAAAACCCTAGCACAGTCACCTTTGTCATCTCTGCTCAGCTCCTCTTCTCTCCTCCCGCTCTCTTTCAGAGAGGCCATAGCACCTTTCTTGACAAACGAAGAAGCCAGGCTTATGGCTGAAAGTGCCATATGTGCCAAGAGGAGCCCGTTCCAGTACATGCTGTGTGCAGCCACCTCGCCGGCTGCCAAACAGCAGGAGGAGACGCTCACTTATCTCAACCAAGGTAGCTATCTGTCCCGTGAGTTGATTGTCCATGTTGACTAAATGGACTGGAGCTCATTTTGTAACATAATCTAAACCAAATTCACGTGAATTCATTGACACGTATGACCCTGCAACACGTGTCTCTCAAAGCCAGAAACCAGACAGTACAGGCTGATGTGTGAAGTCATCAATATAACATCTGGAGCTGTCCGAAACACACTTAATGTGTCAGATGTGCTTTAATCTATAAAATCATAATCAACCCCAAATCCCGAGTTCCAGCTCCAGATGTTTTGATAACATCAGAACATCCAGTTAAATCTGTCTGGGTCTATGGAAGCAAAGAAAGACCATCATTAGTTTTATCAGTGACTGTGTACCTAGATCTGCAGTTTGTTTTCAATTAACCTGCTAATTCATTTGTCAATTAATTGTGTACTTGATAAAATGTTAAAGAATTGTGAAAACAAATGCTTCTTCTGTCTGACAAACATTGTTTAACCCACGACATTGAATTTACTGTCGTTTCTAGTCACTCATTCAAACGTCTCTGTCTTGGATCATGTGACTGACACAACCTGATATGACTGAGCTCTGATCGATTCAAATCAGGCTTTATTGATTTTGCTTGGGAGTCGCAATGCCTTAGATTAACTAATTGAATTCATGTATATGAAATTCAGTTACTTTATTTTTATCTGATTTTATATATATCAGAAATCAGAATCATATCATATAATCAGACATTTTTAAGAAGGACCTTTCAACAGTAAGTTTTTAAGGAATGCGTAAATGTCACAGTTAGCACAGTTGGTTAAAAAATGAAATTCCTTAGACCTTCTTTTGCTTCTATATAAATTGTTGACAGATGTGAATAGTAATCCAAATAGAAGACTACCTCCCTGGATTATATGAATGAGATGTAAACATAATTACTTACATACAATAAGTCTGATTTCTCCATACAACTCCTGCATGTTTTCTTACATGTCTCATCTTCTAATCTGATTCTCCTTCCTGTCTTTGTTCTTTCCTCTTTTTACTTTGGATGGTTCTCTACCACTGGAACCTTCTGATTGTGCTTCTCTTGTTGAACAGTGATATTTTTATATTTCTGCTCTAAATACCTCATGTTTCTACAAGTTTGCCCTGCTTATCTGCTCTGAAGTAATTTGTTTTACGAGTACACACAATGAAAGTGAGCCTGCTGTAACATGCAACTTTTGGCCAATGTTGTATGTTTTAATATGATCAAATTGCCATGTAACAATGGCACATATCGATAAGAAGTCAATTGCCAGTGTCCGTAGCTTAGTTTTATAAATATACTGAAAATTCACTGATGGTTTTATGGACACTACAACTCACTGGCTTTTCATGTGATATTAAAGTTACTGTATTACATCTGATCAGGATGGAGATATAAGTTTCATAGAGTGGCTGGTCTTCATAACTGGCTTAGAAAGGTTTACTAATTTGATTGAGTTTCTATCTCCACTTCCCCTCTTTTCTGATTGACTGATTTCCCATTTTTCAATTTTAATCGGGTCTTTTTTAATGTTTTAAAATGTAGGTCAGTCCTACGAAATCCGTATGCTTAACAGAAAACTAGTGGAGTATACAGATATAAGCAGCAAATATGTAAAGGTAGGTGTAAGGTCTGTTTTTTGACTTTCATGTGTCCACCGCCTCTTTCTTCTTGTATCTGTTTTCATATCTCCATTTCCTGGTTCGTCACAGGTCCCTCGACCCTCCCTTCCACTTCAGGGGTGGGGTGTCTACCTTGGAGAGTTTGGTACTTTCACCCAAAACCTACCTCTCCTCCTTAGTAGACTTTACAAACACACAACTCCTCCTCCCTTCACATTTCCAGCATCCACACACTCTGTTCATCTGAACATGCTACTCTGCTTCCACCTTCACGACTGGAGTTTATTTCAGAAAGAAATGAGCATCTATACATTATCTCTGGAACGTTTCTTTAATTTACTTTTCTTTTTAAGTGATAATATTCCAGATGCCATTGCTTTCTGAATAAAACCCATTGACAACTCATAATGTCTGTCATGTCACTTTGGATTTCATTCACACAGGTTGTTGTGACATAAAAGTGTTCAATTTCAGATGCATATTGAAAGTTATTGCAAATAGTTTTTTTCAAGATGCCCACTTGAGAGTATGTGAAGGTCACTTCCTTTCGTTTCTGTGTGAGTGCATCCACTCCACATGCCTCTGTACTCAGGCTACCACTGCTTGAGAACGTCATGTTAGCTGTAGCATCCTAGAAACACCGGAATGGGACAGGTGGCATCTATGCAAGCACATGACGTGTCGGATCAAGTCATGCATGAGCCTCCCCATAAATATCATAAATATCCCAACGGTGCATGTTTGAATACTTTGTTTACTGCTCCCTGAAACGAGGGGAGTCGCAAGAGGCAGATTTAAAAAGAGATGGCCCACAATCTTGTCCAGCATAGTTATGTTCTCAATAAACTTTCATTAAAGTCCTATGAAGTCGCACAGACTCCATCATGGCGTCCGTCAGTAAATTAAAACTAGAAGCAGTTCATAGACTGAAGACATGGATGTTTTTTTTGTCAGGGTTCCCACTGATTTTTGGTCTCCAGCGTGATTGTTGAAAATGTTGTAATAAGTAACATCTGCTAATGCGTCATGAGGTCACCACTGAAGAGGTGTTTTTCAGCTTCTAGTTTTTCCAGGAAACTAAAGTGTCCATTTCATGGTATCTCCAAATTTTGGTCTGAATGAGTGTGGGAGCCCTGATATTCAGTTGAAAATAAAACCCCTGTCTTTTCCGCCTCTCACAGTTATCACATGTGGACGCTGTTTTTAAATATGTGTACTGTGTGATGGGTAGGAAGAGGAGATGAAATTCAATGTGAATTTATACTTCCTTAAAGACTCACTGTGTTTTAATGAATGAACGTGGGAAGCCTTTTTGCACTCTGTGCGAGCTGCCCCACTCGAGCTGCAGCTGCTGCTCTGGCCTAAATCCCTGATCCTACCTGTTCACAGAGTATTGTGCGCGTGGTGTTTCATGATCGCCGGCTGCAGTATATGGAGCACCAGCAGCTGGAGGGATGGAGGTGGAACAGACCTGGAGACCGAATCCTGGATATAGGTAAATTGACTGTAGCGACACGTGACCTATGATATATCAAATCTCTCCAGTGATGCATTTATTCATCATCAGGGGTGATAAAGTGTCCGATAATCTATATTAATGCCTAAACCAATGCAGCGTTGCCATCCATGGAGCCTTGCCACTAGTGTTGTTGTGTGTGGTTTGATCAAATTGCCTGGGCAGTG